GGGTGAAACACGAACCTGCCGAACTGCAGCGGGAAGCGGCCGCGGATGCGGTGGAACAGCTTCTCCCCCGTGTCCAGCTCCACRTAGAAGTAGGGCGTCCCCGGCTGAGCCACCTGCGGGTTGGGAATAGCGGAACCACAACATCAGTTTGCTTGGAAAAGGCCTCTGAGATTATGTTAACTAGACTGGCAATGGGAGTCAGACACCGAGTGCCACGGCCAGTCTTTCCCTAAACACCTGCAGGGCTGGTGACTCGACCGCCTCCCTGGGCAGCCCCTTCCAATGTCTAATCACCCTTCCTCGGAAGAAAGGTGGGAAGAGACACTGGCTCTGAGAAGAGCTGTCACGTGACAGTTCAGAGGCTGGTGACCCAGCTGTCCTCTCCATGCCACARTTCTCTCTCCAGAGAGGAAACTTGGAAAAACAWCYACATCAAACTGCCTGAGGTCAGTGCCTGACCTCAAACAATATCCTCCATGGGAGGAAAGAGCAGTGGGTCACTTCCTGCTGGGATCACCGGTGGTGATGCAGCCTGGGCACTATTATATGTTGTGGTTTAATTCTGCAGTGAGTAAACAAGAACCGGGCAGGTCTGGTCATTTTTAACCTCAGCTAGGTCACCCTGGCCTAGCACAGCACATTTTTTGAAAAGCCTATAAAGAGGCTATGCTCACATTCCTCAGATGAGAAATTATGTTCATGGGAACTTCTCCCAGAGCAGAACACCCCTGGCACATCCCCAAATCAAGTCCATGAGGTTCTGCCTCCAACAGTTTAACCCCAACCCACAAAGTGACCTCAGAGGGATAGGGCAGCTTACGCAGGACAGAGGAAGTGACAGGTGAAATCTGGCCCCATACTTGTGCAATATCCGAGTGCTCTGGGATTTCTAACAGTTCAATCTGCTGCTCCTGTGCYTGTGCAATAAAGGCCTCTTTAATGTCTTCTGAAGTACAGAGGTCCAGTGGGATGGGAACCACCTGCAGAGGGAGGAGAACATTTCCATAAAAAAAAGACCAGACAATCCATTTGCAGAAAGCCATCAGTCCATCACAGGAGCTGGTGTGCTCCTCAGTACAGCTCAGCATCATCACATGAGACAGGTGAGCACCCATCTCTACAGGCTTAAACTTATGAGACCTTTTGTCCTGTAGGAGCTGGACAGAGAGCTGAAAACKGAAAGCTTGAAGTTCTCAGCACAGCCTTCTCCTTTCTGATGTCTGTGGGAGTTCTGATACAGATCTGATACACTTACAGATCTGCCACAAACAGCAACCACCACACTAAAGCCCTAAATTACTCTTTCATTTCATTTGGAATTTATATTCAGTGCAAGTTTATATTTTCCCACACAAATCATACCTGTAGCTGCAGATGCTGACTCCTATAGTTTCTTTCGAATAGGACATATCTCTTTCCCTTGCTTCTGAAAAATTCCTTTAAAGCAGCCTTGTACTTGGTCACTTCTTCCAGCACCTCTGAAGACAAGTCCACCACTGATTGATAGTGCCCAATTGGCAAAATCAGGACGTGGTCAGGTGACAAACCCCCTTTGGCCAGGGCAAGGTARCACTAGAGTGAAACAACACACACCAGTTACTCACTGTGCTGTGGGAATTTACTCTCTGACTACTCATTCTGAGAAGCCCCCAGCCTCAGGAACAGGAGAGTCATCTATATTGCTTATTAGGGATTGTTTATTACCAATTTAATTTGGATTTGKTTTTATACTGAATTTATTAATCATTAGAGGAATGAGAAAGAGACAGAGGAACTACTAAAGGAAAAAAAAAAAAGTATCTTTTGCCTTGCCTGCAAAATGCCTTGCCTGCAAGGAAGCAGCTGAGTAAACTTCACCACTGTGGCAGGAATTTTTTACTCTGATGTGAAAATCAGCTTAAAAATTTAAACTAACCCTGTGAACAAACCTGTCCCTGTAAATGGATTATACCAAAGAAGTACCTTAAAGCAAAGTGCACATAACAATGATGGAATAAACTTCAAAGTCATCACCTTGAAGTGTATCTTGGAAATATTTTCTCTTTCATCTCTCTAGAGCAAAGCTGGAACCAGCCATTCCAGGGAAATGTGGCACAGATGCATCCTGCTGCCAAAGCAGGTCCCAGCTGACTTCCCCAAGTTTTGCCAGATTGTAACATAGGCACAGCAAAAAGGGTTCTGGCACTGGAATCCAGCTCTGCTGCTGGAACAAACTGGGCCACGCTTCACTTCTTAAGTTTATGTGTTTGTAGAGGAGATGCAAAGAAACTGAAAGCAAACCCAAGAGCCAGCTGCAAATGAAGTTTGTTTTAAATTTAAAATTGGTCATTGGTATTTTGTTTTGCCACATCCTAGCATGATTCTAACATAGCAAAATCCATGCTACAGGTACTTACATGTGTGCCAATACTGACAACCAAGTGCTTCTCCACTTCGGGGCTGGCCAGGCAGAACCAGCAGGGTCCCGTGGGCTGAGCTTTGTTGGGAAAGAAAACAAGGATTAGCACAAGGYATATTTGTCAGAACACAGAAAACCTGCTATTTTCCAGTCACCCTTCCCARCTGATCAAGTGCTGAAGGTTTAGGAAGAACACAACTGTGGCCAGGGAAATTCCAGCAAGAGAAGAGGTGGTGGCAGTCACACCCTGTTGACAGCCATTCTYCTGGAATGCTATAACCTAATAAAGGAGGAATTCAGTAGTTCCAGGTAGTTCCAGCTCACTAATAAGAAAATACCAGCAAAKGTAAGCAAACGAATCAAAATGAGGTAAAATTACTGCACAGCTACAGACAAGGGCTGATGCTGTCAAACACACTTGTTAGTTCTGGTCTATTCATCACAGTCAAAACACCTGGATTCACACCCAAATTRTGATACCTGAGCTGAGCTTTGCAGAAGTACCACATTCAGAAGCCAGTCTGGTTTAAAGGGTAAATACCACCACGGACCCAAAGAGCTTTTAAACTATGCTTTTAATCCTTCTTTCACCTAWTGAAGCCTATTTTCCCTTGGAAACAAGGGACCCGTTATCCTTCTGCATTCCTCCAGCAYGTGGCACAGTGACAGAGCTCACAGGCCAGCTGACACAGCTCAACAGTGTGAGGAACATGGAGTGACCTGGTCCATCCAATGCCTCGAGAGAAGAGCTCAGGAAAAAAGCATACTCACGGGGTTTCTTGGCTTGCTTAGGTTGGGTGACCCCTCTCTCTTTCCCATCTGAGGGACGTTTCTTTCCCTGGTGCTTGTTCAAGTCAAAGAAAAACTGACAAGCTGGCTCTTCCTGTTTAGGAAATGAAAAGTGAAGCCTGTTAGAACTGCATCACAGAAAGCAAGAATATATACAAGAATTCCATTTTTCCTGAAGAGCTGTGAATCACTTCTGAAAAGCATCAATATCACAGAATCCCTGAGACTGGAAAAGTCCTCCCAGCCCACGGAGTCCAAGCTGTGCCCAATGCCCACCGTGTCCCCAGCCCAGAGCTCTGAGTGCCACCTCCAGCCCTTCCTTGGACACCTCCAGGATGGGCCTTGGGCACTCCAAACCTCCCTGGGCARCCCCTCCTGATGACTGACAACCCTTTCCAGGAAGAAATGTCTTCTGAATATCCTGGAACAGAATGAACTGTTCTCCTAGTAATGGAGCAAGCTTTGCCTGCTTCAGTCAGAGAAAAAATTCTGGGAGAGCTGCTTCAAATCATAAGACTCTCCTATTCAGTCTTATGCTGAACCTTCAGAATTGCCTGATTTTATGGATTATTCTAATATTTTCATTTGCCAGCCAATACCAAAAGAATGCCTTTATTTCTTAGAGATGTTAACTTGTCACAGACTCACCAGGGGTTGAAAACATTCAAGTGAGTTATCCCATACAGCAAAATGCCATTAGAATGCTGCAAAGGAAAAAACTCTGTCCCYATCTTTCTTATAAACCTACTTTAAGAAGTGGAAGGTCTCCCTGGAGCCTTCTCGGGCTGAACACCCCCAGCTCTCCCAGCCTGTCTCCTTGGCAGAGTTTTGAACAGATATCCCAAAGGGGAAGCCAAGCAGAGTTGTGAGCACAGAGAGGGCACAAGTGGAGAAGCACAGGGCTGTACCTCTGCACAGAGCGGGCCTTTGCTCTTGGGAGCCTCCTTCTTCAGTTTCCKGTAGGGATTTTCGGTGACATCCTGAGGCTGCTTCACCAGTTCTGCAGGGTCCATGGCACTCATGGGAACGATGCTGAAGGCATAGAGGTACTGCAACAAACACAGGGGCTCAGGGACCAGCAGCTCCTGCCACAGCTGCACTTCTGAGGAGATCACCCAAGACACTGAGCTCCACACCACTCAGCATATTGGCATTTGTGCCAAGGCAAGGCATGGAAAAACATCTGCCCTGTGCCCATGTCCCACCCTGGAGTTTATGGAGTGTGTCCTTGATCCCTGTCTGTTTCCAGGCCTTCTTTCTGGCCTTTTTTGTTACCACCCTGGATCCCATGCATGCTTAAATATCAACCAGTATTCTGTAACTTTATTAAGGGGAAAAGAGAAACAAGTTAAAAATCTCATCCCAGAAGTTTGTTATTTTCAGTGATTTGTGCCTCAGAACACACTGTGCAGGCCCTTACCCATCTGACRCAACAGGCAAATGGCACCTATTGCTCAAGTGAGCCAGATACCTCCACTTCAGCCTCTGAAGTACCTGATGTTGCCCTCTAACTGGCCTCACTGCCCTGTTGTTGTACTTGAGAAAAAAAAGAAGGTTCAAGGGTGTCAGTACCTTTTTCTTGCTTGTATTGCCAACATCAGCAAGTGCAATAAATCTGGTCACGTGCTGTGGGGTCTCCTGTAGCACCATGTGATTTCTGTAAGGATRCAAAACCTGGCTGTAGTGACCCACACAGCATTGAAAGGACAGTGGGAGTTGTCTGCCATGAAGATACTCAGACAGTACATCAGTCCTCCTGTGTTCTTTAAAACTGAACCCTTACTAGAAAATAAATGAGATTTCACATGACTTTACAAACCTGTAAGGAAGTCTTTCGTAATAGGTCTTCTCCAGGGCAGCAAAATGGTATCTTGGTTTGAGACTTGCAGCTAGATCTGATACTAACTTGGAGCCACACTTCTTGGTGTCTATTTCTCCCTATGAAACACAAACCAAGTTTTATTTAAACCCATCTCAGAGCAGGGAAAAGAAAGGTTTAATATACTTCTCTGTACGTCTGAGTGAGTACATTCCCAGGAAATTCATGTCAATTGTAGAATGACRTAGTGAACTACCGAGAGCCCCCATGGGAACTTCTGAGATCTGAGTTTTCTTTTTAAGCCAGAACATCCCTRCAAATGTTTCTCTCCAACACCTAAGGGTAGTAGGGTTGGCTACTGTGCTGTGAGGGAAGGTTCTTCATGCATTTAAACAGAGGATCATATCTTTTACTGGATGTTTAAGAAACTGAGAGGAGTTCTTTTGCCATGTGTGTGGCCTTTCTGTCCAGGCAGGTTTTAAATAATCTGAAAATCATTTCTATTCAGGAACACTAACAACACAAAATTGGACACAAATGAAACAACACCTCAAAATCCAGACCACCTGACTGATACTTCAGGAAATAACCACCAAAACACTATAAAAAGCCCTGAAGTCTCATAAATCCCCTTCCCCTTCAGTTCTTCTGAAGAAGAACCAGAACATCTGCTGTCTTTGTTTTTACTCCCAGCTTTCTGCAGTACTCGAAGGGGGCCCAACAACCCAAAGTGCCAGAGCAAACAGAAAGGCAATGCTTTGTTAAATCCCCTGGGAAACAGAACACTCACCGCGCTGTTGGCAAAAGTCCCCACATCTCTGGGCCAGGGGGATGTCAGCAATATATCCACGCCCCTGAAGTYTGGGGTTGASAGCAGGGATGTTTTCAGCTCAGCCACGTCCTTGGCACTGAAGCTGTGTGCGGGTGCTGGCTGCTCCTGCGCCTCGGTGCCGCTCAGGTAGGCGATCTGCAGCCCCGAGCAGCCGCTGTACACACCCCTGCGGCCTGCAGCGACACACACACACATCCCTGAGCTGCAGGCAGGCCAGGGAACCCCCTGGGGCAGGGCAGCAGCAGTGCAGAGTCGCTGCCATTGCAGCTGCCCTCAGACAGCTCATTCTCTGTGCTGGGAGCAATGACATCGCTGGGCACAACAGCTCAAACCCAATCCTGCCCACAAAGAAGGGCTTCAGACAACCCCCAGTCTTCCCCCTCCTCCCTGCTACCTTGCTTCCCAAAAATTCATCCACACCAATATGCAGCCTCAGTGAAAAAAAACCCAAGTGTCTCTAATTTGTTATATTTTTGGCCAGGTGGCAATTCTGGAAAGAAACTGGTTTTTCCTTGTAGCTTTGTMAGAGTTTCACTTGCTATCTCTGCTAGTCCAACACAGCCCAATAATATTCAAGGACTAAACCTTCCCCACACAGATGCAGACACACTCTGGGAATAAGATTCCCTCAAAGAACAGGCTCTTGCAACCATCATTCCTTCTGGTTAGCAAGTTCAGTGTCAGAGAATTAAAAAACATACAAATCAAGAAAGCAGGGTTTTCTTTCCCATTTTACACAGATTGTATCAATACCGAGTTCAACCCCAGACTKGACAGCAGGATGAAAGATGCCACTTAAAATTCCCAGCAAAAAGAAGGTGTTAAAGTGGAAGAYGAGAGAATGCTCATGAAAGCCCCAGGAGGCAAAAACTGCACCCTGACCCCAACTTCCCTGTGCCTTACCCAAATAAGTGATATTCTCAGCTAATTCACAGCCACTGACATCGGGGAAATAGCTCAGGGTGTCCTGGTTGTTAGCACCAAGCACGTAAGTTGGGATTGGAGCTGAAAGAGAAAACCTCACGCACTCAGTCAGCTTTAATTCCAGTGCACCAACACAGTCCATCCCACATTCCYCCATAATCACAGCAGGAAACCCCATCCACTCAGACCCTCCACTACACCTTGGGAACAATGAGCACAGGACAAGAAACCTTCCTGTAGAGTAAGAACACCCAACCTCTGAACAACCTCTGTCCTGCCCACACCTCCCTCCCCTRCCTGTGTAAGATTAGCTCCAAAATGATCCACAGCCCTAAACCCAGGGGTGTTCCAAACAAACTCATCTTTCCCTCCTGTGTAGGGYTTCCCGGCTGGAGTGTAACTGCTTTAACAGTGCCCAGCTGTGCATCCTGAATGCCAGGGAGGGCTGTGAGTTGGTGCCAGCCCCGCAAGGTGACACCAGCTGCTTTTCTTACCTTTCTTGGCCCCCGTGCGGTACTCGGCCCACTCTGCCTCGGAAGTAGAGCCAAAGAAATTTCCGACACACAAMAGCATCTAAAAACACCGGATAAAGCAGGAGTTGCAGACACAGASAGAACACACACGAAGGCTGTGCTTGCACCACCTCAGTAGTTTGGTTTACTACAGTGAAGAGATTCCCCTGTGTTTATCTATGCCCAGTGTTACACCCACCCAGCAGTCCCGGCACATCCMCTGCACGCSAACCCTACCCGGGCACTCCTCCTGYGYCCCGGCGGAAGGGCTCCTGGCCTCGGCCACCCCAGGACGGGAAAGGGAACCCCGCGGGAACAGCACCGCATCCACCTCCCCGCCCCAAGCCCCACAAGCCTTACRTCGAAGCGGCCGCTCTTGGCCTGGATGGCGCGGACCCTCCCGAAGATCGCCTCCAGCCGCCCCTCCACATCGCCACACGCCAGCCTGCGGGAAACCACGCGTTAAGAGCGGTACGGCCCAATTGGGCCCCGGCCCCACCGCAATCTGAGCAGCCTCTGCCCCCGTCCCGTTCCCGTCCCACTCACACGCGCAGCGGTGCCGCCGCCATCACCAACACTCCTGACCCGAAGCTCCCGCCACTTCCTGGGGCACCGCTCAAAGCGCTCCGCCACTTCCGGGTGTTCCGCTCAAACCGCTCCGCCACTTCCGGGTGTTCCGCCCAAAGCGCTCCGCCACTTCCGGGTGTTCCGCCCAAAGCGCTCCGCCGCTTCCCGGGTGGGCGGTGCCCGAAGCCTGACAAAACCAACTGGAATCAGCGGGAAGTTTTAAATCCCGCTGTCCGCAAGGAATTACGCATGTTCACTGTGGCTGTGTCCTTTAACCTGCTGTGTTAGCGCTCCTGTCAGTGTTGGCATTAAATTTGGAAAACCTGTGAGAAGGTAGTAGAGGGGATGAGGTAAGAGCGGGGCCATTTTCTCAGAAATGACTGAAATATTCACCTTTCATAGGGGATTTTTAAAATTAAATCTTTATATTGATACCTATGATTTATGTCAAAGGGACAAGGTGCTTATGAGRCCTATTGATTGAAAACTTTCTCTAACTTTTTAATACATTATCAATATAAGAATGTAATAACTTTTTACATATTGTTAATATACAATGTAATAGCTTTCAATATATTATCAATAATAGCCTTTTTATATGTTGTTATAAGTTTTTTAGTAGTGTATTAGCAACATATAGTGTACCAGCTGGATGTAATCCAACCAGCTGGATTAGTACATAGATACGTGAAATCACCATTGGGCATAAATGAGAAAAAGTTCTGAAGAAAGTGGACAGGTAGATGTTATAACAAGGAACAGTAGAGAGCACTAATGAGAACTTGGCAGAGGCACAAGACAGTCAGCAAAAAGATGGAAAATGAAGACTTGGAGGACTAGAAAAAAAACCCATAAACATCACAACTGTGCATGCCTTGAAGACAAAGGTGAAAAGTCCACCATGATGAAGAGGATGGTATCTTATTAGTGGGAGACCCCCGCGACCACCGAATTGAGGATGATGCAGGTGCACTTTTAAAACTGATATCGTGTATTTCCGTACCGATATATAGTAGTGAGYGTAGTGACAATGTTCATGTTACACCATGCTGTATAAATACATGCCAATTCTAAGCAAAGGCAGGTGGGTTAGGAGAAATGATCCCCCTCCCCTCCAGCGCTAGACATCGGTCTATGGGGTTTTCAGGCATCGATATGTATCAAAGTTTTACAATGTTACCATCTGAATTCTGTAACCAAGAGCTGAAATCTCAGTTGGTGCTGCTGGCGTTTGTTCCCTCTGTGGTATTGGGACTGAAACATTCCACAATTCAACAACAGGCATAAGAAATGTAAAGTAACAACTTTTATTTTCTACCTCTCACCTGGCCCGAATGAACCGCAAAACAATGGAACGGTTTGTGTTGGAAGGGACCTTAAAACCAACCCAGTTCCAGCCGTGCCATGGGCAGGGAGACCTTCCACTACCCCAGGCTGCTCCAAGCTTTATCCAACCTGGCCTTAGGGATGGGGATCCAGGGGCAGCCACAGCTTCTCTGGGCACTCTGTGCCAGGGCCTCCTCACTCCCAGAAGCCAGGAAAGCTGGTTGTTTACCGGCGGGAAGGGGGAAGCCGAGGAGGAGCCCCTKGCATTTATTTTACTGACAGTAACTGCACCAAGGCACACGCGGCGGTCGCGGGCAGGAGGCCGCGCTCCCCGGCGGCTCCAGCGCGTCACAGAGGCGGCGAGGKCACCCCAATGCACCGCGACTGGYCGGGCTGTGCCCCGCTCCTGCCTCRYTCCCGGCCCGAYCCCATCAACTCCAGCAGAACATGAAAGTTACTCCMCGAAGGCGTCCCCGCCATCCCCAGGGCTCCAAGCGGCTGAGAGGCGGCCGCTCGGCTCGTCGGGGCCGCTCCTCAGCCTCGCTCAAACATGGCGGGCCCTCCGCCTCCCCTCAGCGCCGCCGCCGGATCAAGGCCTCCCTTCACGATAGCGGCTCCTCCGCCTCCCCTCGRCGGTGTCGCCGCATCGTCAAGCCCTCCTCTCACAACAGCGGCTCCTTCGCTTCCCGTCAGCGACACCGCCCCTCAGCTTCCCTCCAACATGGAGACCCCCGCGCTCCCCCTCAGCGACACCGCCCCTCAGCTTCCCTCCAACATGGAGATCTCAGCGCCCCGCGTCAGCGGCACCGCTCCTCAGGTTCCCTCCAACATGGAGAACCCCCCGCCCCCGCTCAGCGGCACCGCCTCTCAGCCTCCCTCCAACATGGAGAAACCACGGCCCCGCCTCAGCGACACCGCCCCTCAGCCTCTCTCCAACATGGAGAACCCCCCGCCCCCGCTCAGCGGCGCCGCCCCTCAGCCTCCCTCCAACATGGCCGTGCCACCGCTTCCTCTCAGCGGCTCCGCCCCTCAGCCTCCCTCCAACATGGCCGTGCCACCGCTTCCTCTCAGCGGCTCCGCCCCTCAGGCTCCCTCAAACCCGGCCGTTCCCCCACCTCCCCTCAGCGGCACCGCCCCTCAGCCTCCCCACAACATGGAGAACCCCCCGCCCCGCCTCAGCGGCACCGCCCCTCAGCCTCCCTCCAACATGTCCGTCCCCCCGCCTGCCCTCAGCAGCGCCGCCCCTCCTCCATCGCCCCTCAGCGACACCRCCCCTCAGCCTCCTCCCGACGGAGCGGCCCCACCGCCTCTCTCAAACGCCGGCACCRCCCCTCAGCTTCCCCCGCGGGCTCTTCCCGCCCGGCGCAGCCGCGGATCCGCAGTCCGAGAGCGGGCTGGGCGGGAAGGACGGTGCTGGATCGGTGCCGGCGGCGCGGGATGGCGCTGCCGCAGCAGTGCGAGGCCGCGTTCGGCACCGCGGACCTGTACGGCGTGCTGGGCGTGCGGCGGGGCGCGTCCTCGCAGGAGATCCGCCGCGGCTACCACCGCGCCTCGCTGCGCCTGCACCCCGACCGCGTCCCGCCCGAGCAGAAGGAGGAGGCCACGCGTCGCTTCCAGGTGAGGGGACGGTGCGAGAAAGGGAAGGAGGGAAGAAGAGACAAGGGGGAGGAGGGAAGGGGGCGGCGGCGGCAACGAGTGAGAGCGACCCACCGACCCCGGGTGACCAACCCACCGGCTGACCCCCACCAATTCCCGAGTGAGAGCGACCCACCGCCCCCGGGTGACCAACCCACCGGCTGACCCCCACCAATTCCCGAGTGAGAGCGACCCACCGCCCCCGGGTGACCAACCCACCGGCTGACCCCCACCAATTCCCGAGTGAGCGACCCACCACCCCCCAAGTGACTGATTAGCTTTTCCCCAAGTGACTGAATCCCAGTTAAGAGACCCTGAGAGACTGACCCACCACCCCTYGAGTGACCATCCCACTGACCATCCCCCGGGTGACCCCTGCGTCCCGCAGATCCTGGGCAAGGTGTACGCCGTGCTGAGCGACGAGAAGCAGCGCACGGTGTACGATGAGACGGGCATGGTGGACGAGGACGCCGAGGCGCTGCAGGACGGGCGGGACTGGCTGGAGTACTGGCAGCTGCTCTTCAAGGTGAGAATGGGATGGGCTGGGCGACAGAAGCATTGTGTGGCTTTATGTGTTTTTTCCTCTGAAATCCTCCTAGTGAGCGAGCCCTGTAACTCGCAAAGCGTCACTTCACTGCCCCAGGTCACTGTGAAAGACATCGAAGACTTCCACAAGAACTATAAAAACTCGGCRGAAGAGCTGGCTGATGTGAAGGCAGCATACCTGAATTTCAAGGGTGACATGGATCGGATCATGGAGTCTGTGATGTGTGTGGACTACACCGATGAGCCCAGGATACGGGAGATGATACAGGAAGGCATCAACTCGGGGGAGCTCCCRTCCTTCAAGGCTTTCGTAAAGGAGTCGAAGCAGAAGATGATGTCCAGAAGAAAGCGGGTAGGTCACATCAACTGTTTACCATAACCTTTGAATCTCCCTTGGCAAAAATAAGTGACACTGTTCCCAGGGTATTTGTCACAGGATTGCTGGGTTACACACCTTGGTGTTCATATCTGGTTGCCTGTGTTCATCACCCCCCAMCTCAAATCATTGTGAAAGACTTTTYTACTTCTTTATTTCATTGTTATACACAACAGCTTACTACAGTTTAGCATGTCCCTGCATTTATCTACAAAGCTCTGAGTTGCTGGAGTTAACAAAAACAACTAAGTGGTGAAAATACATTTTGGTTGACTTCTGGCAAGTGTGAAACTGCTCTGAGCGAAATGGACTTTTGGATACTTTKTAGAACGTTACATGCACTTCACAGTAATCTTTAGTTAATGTGTCTATCAAGACAAAAAAAAGTGGGAACAGGGACAGGGCCAAACATCACATTCAGCACTGTGAAAGCAAAAAAAACTTCCTGCTCTGCTAAATGGTAGAACCATAACGGGCTTCCCTTTGCCTTATTCCTCATCTGTGGCCAAACTTGGAAACCCTTTTGTGCTTCCCTGTAGCTGTTCGTACACAGATGCCAAAAAAACCATTTGGTAACTCCTGTGAAACTTGGTCAGGTAACATGCACAATACTTTTTTTTTTTAAAAAAAAAAACCTGTTTGCTCATTTAGGCAGAAAAAGAAGCTAAAGAGGCAAAAAAGACTAAAGATGAACTCGGCCTTGGTGGAGAAAATGACTTGCAAGCGCTGATTAAAGTAAGGCTTTTTCTGTTTGTTGAAGATAACCTTTTTACTGGCTTATAACTGTGTTTTCCCTGAGTGTCTTTGATTTTGGATCCTTGCAACTCTTCTGAGTTCCTGAGGTTAAAACCTGGCCTTAATGTTAACTGTATACTTTAATTTAATTAGAATCAGAGTACTGTATAGATTTTATTGCCTATGTTTTTTTTTTTTTTAATTTACAAAGTTATTGCATAAGTACTTGAAATACTTTAACTTCTAGTTTTAGGTAGTTTTGCAAGGAGTTTTTAAGATTATACTAAACTTTCTGTAGCTTGTATTCCTTGTTTACTATATTCCAGTATCTTGTGTAGCTATCAGTCTTCACTAGGATAATCTGTATTGGGAAGTTATAAAAGCTTTGAGTTTGATTGGTTTTCTTTTCCCCTYCCCCAGAGCCGAAGCAGAGATCGAGAGAAGGAAATGGATAACTTCCTGGCCCAACTGGAAGCAAAATATGGGAACAGTGCTAAGAAAGGAGGRAAAAAGACCCCAGCCAAGAAAAGAAAGGCAGAAGGAACAGCATAGACTGAATTAATGGGTTTCATTTTGTATAGAAATGTAGATTTGGGAGAATTTTGGATGTTTTCTGGTCTTTTGTTTTGGACTGTGCATTGACTGGCTGTAACTGGGAGGTGTGACATGGAATGCATCCTGAACAAGGAAGACAAGGCATTCCTGTGCTACTGTTCCAAATCAGTGTAGATCCATGTGTGCTACTCACACATTTCTTCTGTAACAAACCTCCTACTCTTTTCAAAAGTCTTGCGCCTCAACTCAACTGGTGTTTTTCAGATATTCCAGTAGTTTTATAAAAATAGTTTGGAAAATTGCAGATTTAATAAACGTGAAGTTGTTTTCTTTTTTTCCAGAGTTTTGCTTCCCCAGTTCTATGTTTCCTAAAAAAGCTGTTCAAAACAAATAATCAATTGTGTTGATTCTTCTGATTTCAGTCAAGTAAATCCTGCACACTTCCGTGGAGGATCATTTTTCAAAGGTGTAGGAGCCATGAAGTGAACACTTTGGGAGCTGAAGGCCCTCCGTGCATCAACAACAACATTCAGGGAGCTTCCTGGTGGGGAAGCCAGAGGTTAATGGTCTCTCTGTTCCCTTTTACTTGTCTGCTGTCAAAAGTTACCCTAATTCTGAGAAAGCAGAGCATATAATTGTGTTTTATAACATGGGGCTTGAAGGTTACTTTTATTACACAAAATAAATAACAGTCCAAGGGCAGTCCCTAGTGTCAACCATCTGTACAAAAAACAAAAAGGGTCTTAGGAGGGGACTGCACTTTTTAAACTGACTTAAAAAGTGCCATTATGCTAACAGAAGTCTATTCAAGTTTAATTGTCTGTTTTTGTAACTCTTGTGCTACAGAAAACTCACTCRATCCCTGAGGGATGGCACAAATACAAATGGGATGTTTATCTGCAGTTTGCCTGACATAACTGACACACTGCAGTGCTCCAGAAGAGACACTGTATTTTGAAATGGTTTAGTGAGTAGGCTTCTCTGATGAGCATTTGTTTCTCTCTCTCTGCAAACTTAAGAGCTTTAGACTGAGCTCAGAGTTATTTGGTTTTTTTTCTTAACTTCTGGAAATGCAAAGGCAGGTTAACCCAGTTACATTTGCAGTTTCCTGTATTTGATTAAAGCATGCTTGGATAAACTGGACTTAAGAGACTCAATATTGATTAAAAATTATTAGCTGGTTTGGAGTGGAGAAATATGGCAGCCACTTCATAAAGAATACTGACAAGTTTTTTTCCCATTCTAACTGCAATTTGAAGAATAATAAAATGTAGCAAAACAGTGCTCTTTACTTGGACTAGAAAGGAACAGCTGTTTTTGTGGAGCATCCTAACTTTGTTTAAATACAGCCAGTGGTTATCTTCACCTTGTTACATTTCAGTCTGGCACTCACTGTTWGGGAGTATGACCTTCAGCTATAACCACTTGTTTTGAGAAGCCTGTACTTCATGTTTTGTCTTTTCTGAAGCCACAAGGCCAGCTCCASCAAATACCTCTGTTAGGTCTGTCCCACAGGGGAGATACAGCTCCTAAAAGCTCCGTTCCATCTCTGGCTTCTGGAACTCTATGATAGAGTGCAGAAATCTGATGTAATTACAGGTGATTTTATAAAGGGACATTAAGGTATTCTATGGAATTACCATAAAATGTCTCCCCAGGAAGACTATTCTTTTTTTGAGTTCTGTCTGAAACTACTCATAGTAAGAGGTTTCTTTTTGCCTGTTCAACCTTCTTCAGTCACAGAGAAAGAGGTAAAGGGTTTTATTATAACTCAGGCAGAGGCAGTGGCATGCTACCCTTGGAGCTGCCAGGTCACCTGCTCTGCTACCTTAGTTCTATACACCTGTGYTCATACCTGCTGCAGCTACAACAGCATTCATCACTTGCCTGAGCTGAGTGCTTGCTTGTGCTAGTACAATATTGCTTTAAACACATAAATACAGTTTTTTTAAAATGTAAATCACTGCTGCTATGGAATGTTGGGTAAACCTTCCTAAGGGAAGAATGAGCAGGTCCTGCAGTACCTGCCTGTAAGGACATGAACCTGTCACCAGCCTCATGGAAAACAGTGCAGACTGAGAGTGTTTGCTAGGTTTCCTAGGAATTAGGCTTCACTGGAGTGTATTCACCCTTCCACTGGAGCATCACTTCCTCTAGTGGTAGAAAATAGAATGTTTAAGTGCACCCCTTCTAATCTTTGGCAGCTGCTGCTTAGATTTATATAAAAATAACTATCTGTAAGGAAGGGTGTTAGGAAACTCTGTGTAAACAACGTTGACCTTGCTGGGAAGGAGAGGTGGTTCATGACTCTGGAGAGGGATGGATGGGTGGATACTTCTCCATGGCATTTTAGAGCCCCTGTTTGCTTTTTGTGCCTGATCCACTTCGACCGTGAGCTTTCACAGAACCACGTTGTGGAAGACCTGACAAACAGAGATCATGGACAGCTTCAAGACTTCAGGAAGGAATTACAGCTTAGTACCAAAAATATCTCCTCTAGCTTAAAACTAAAACGTCTTTACTGTAACACATGGCTATCWACTGCATTGTTTATAACTTCCAAAAGGGGCAAAGTTTGTGCTTGCTGAGTAGCTGCATTGCAGGGAGCAAGTGTACTCCTTGGTATTTCACCAAGTATTCATGTCTACAAAGTTTTCCTGCTAATTTAATTTTTTTTTTTGGTCAATACAGTAGTCATAACATTCGCCTTGTATTTTTTTTGAGCGGGGGAGCAGATATTTAATTTCAGTAGGAACCACTCCTTGCTTTTCTAAAAACAAGTTACTTTAGTTTTAGCACCTTTGTTAACTTCAAGTTACTATTTCTGTTTCAGCTGGCAACTCCTGCTTTGAAAACTTTGACACTGAGATGCAGTGGGGCYGATTACATTAAGCTTCCTTAACTGATTTTAAATATTTGGTGGTAATAAAAACAAACAAAAACCCCAACAAAATGCATCCAACCATATTCTGGAGTAGAGTAGGATATAGCAAGGAYAAAACCTGAAATTAAAAATATGGATGGAATTTTGAAAAACTTCCCCAATGGAAATTATCTGTAGGAATGCATCCCTGTAGGAAATGCTTCCCTGCCCTAAAAGCCTCCTTTGTTTGATCTTACTAAGCCCTGTGAGTGATGAGCATACCTGAACTTGTCGATCCTCTCCTTGTCCAGGAGTGATTACTGTAATCAATAACAGTGCAAGAACGGCGGCGCTGGGGATCCGGCTGAAAAGACAGTTCAGCTTATTTCTGTTTGCATGAAAAAAAATCAAGATGCTAATACAGCTACAAACTACTTAATCATGTATTTAGAGATTGGTAAGATGTTGTAAAGGTCTGATGTTGTRAAGTTCTAAGGAAAGCTTAAAGAAGGGTCAAATCAACTTCAGAAATAGAAAATATACTTTTCTAATGCTTATTTAGAATGATCACTGGGCCAGTTAGAGGCAGTCTTGCAATTTCTGGGAATTGTTCTGTTCCAAAAGCAGATTTAATAACTGCTGAATCAAGAATGTTGAAATTATACACAGAAACCAGTCAAGCAGCTACTTAGAAGCTATTGATAAAATTACAGCTTTTAAAGCTTAGATAAAAATACTTGGTTAGATACAAGAAGGTATCGGTTGAGTAAGTGTTTCAATAAATTAAACAGAGTATTTGTTACTAAAATAGACTGGACASTGACTAATGTTAATTCTCAAAGCACCCTATTCAGTGATTAAGGATGATCTGGTGTAATTAGCCATGCTTTACCAAGGTTGTGTTGGTTGTGTTAGGCCTGGAGAAGGGATCAGGTAAGAACAGCTGCTCCTGGAGCTGCTGGGGAGTGTCTTGTGTCGTGACACAGGGAGCACGGCTCAAGTTCCCTCGAGGCTTCTGCAAGCAGAAATAACACAGTTATGAGTTCTTCTTAGTGCATTGAAAATAATTAATCCARGAATTAAAGCTAATTTTATACCCAGTTAGGAGGAGGAAAACATTCCATTTGCATTAATGAGAATTAAGCAGACAAATGGAGGTGATGCTGTGAGTCAAACCCGATACAACATTTTTTGTGCATCTATCTGACTTGCTGTCACAATGTAACAAACAAACTGGAACTCTTGGGCTGGGTAATTTGGCCAGCAGTSATAACAACTTTAGATTATTCAGTAATGAAATGAGATTCTGGTGCCTGTTACCGTTTGCCTGTGGGTTCCTGCGGTGCTCCCACACTCTGCCCCAGTGGTGGTGGCAATGGGTGGCAGGGGGTGATTTCTGTTTAGCAGCAGTGGGGAGGGTGATGAGGTCAGCTGCTCCTGTGCAGTCAGGCTGAARTGCACCAGTAAGAACAGAAAAAAACACAGAGTTTATATGTTTGGCAGGTGGAAAGATGTATTATTGCTAAGTTTCTTTGGCTTTCTAGAGTTGACTGTTCTGTAAGAATACTTTAGAAAAGCTTCAAACCATAATTTGCACTTAAAAAAAAAGACTTCCCCAGTGCTCTCTGCTTACATTAAAAATATATTTAAATAAAGCAGAAATGTCAATATTTCTTAGATTGACTGAAGCCTGAGGAAAGGGAACAGAAGCATAAAATAGTGGAAGGAGAAACTTCAGTTATGAAGGGACACGGAATAAGTCTCTCAACAATATATGACAAGAATGAGTTTAAGAGTTAAAGACCAGATGAGTTTATAGGTAAACTGCAAAACTAAAGGTCAACTACATTAATTTACAACATATGAAACAGACAGGTCTATCAAACCCTGCATTATTTCCTGATAACCCTGTGGTCCCTGTAAATGGTCCCATTAAGTCAGGTCATTGTACAAAATAAAAGTAAGATATTCTAGGTGTGATTGAGGGCTCTCTAAGAGCCCTTAGGYCAATCAGATAATCTATTTTAACAAMTTTATGGCCCAGTCTGAGCTAGGATAGCAACCTGCAGCATGACCTCCAAAAACTGCAGACTTTTAAATTTATCTTGAAAATAGGCTGCAGAGAAAGACAGCCATGCCAAGAAAGAGATGGTGGTGTTCTCTTTGCTTGTAGAGGACAGGCTGAGGTCCCTTGTTGATGTGCAAGACCACCTCAATACGCGATTCACAGAATCGCAGCTGCAGGACAGTGAACACCAACTTCAACAACGCAGCTTTCTCAGAGGAGCTGTGCTTTAAGGGCCAGTTCCTCTCCTTACTCCAACAATCCATGTTCTCCCTACCCAGGGATGCTTTCCATGTCCCCTGAGCATGGCACCCTGCAGGGGGATGTTGTTTTGGGGACGTACAGGCGCCTGCTGGCATCGTCCCCGGAGCACGGGGCCCCGATGGGACGCAGGGTCCGTGGCGGGGCGTTCCTCCTCCTCCTGCTGCAGGATAGGGATGAGGTGCTGAGCTCCAGGGGACGATTTGGCCATGTCCTAGTGGAGAGGAAGGAACTTGAACCTGGCCGTTTGTCATCCAGCTCCCTGACAAAAAAAAAGAGCACAAGACAAAAGAGAGTTGGTCAACATCACAACTACTTTGTTACCAAAGTACTCACCTACAGGTGACTTAAATCATGAAATACATGGGCAGAAATTATTTGAGTCCATTTTTAAAATAACTGTGTCAAGCAATACTCTTTCATAGAAGACAAATAAACAAACAAACAAGGAGGAAAATAACTCAGAATTGCTTTCTCCAGTGAAGGAATTTATCTCACAAAGTTTTGGGTTGAATCCCTCTGACTGTGAGAGTGCTCTACTTTATTTACAACAGGTGATCTGTAGTTCTTACAGTGTTTTCTCCACTACAGGCAGGTTCCTGTGGTGTAACTGGATCCCATGGATCACCATCAAGCCATTTAGGTTACGCTGAGAACCACTACTCGACTCTTGAGAGAGACTTACCTGAAATTTAAAAAAAATAAGTAAGTAAATTACTGTTTCACAGAGATACACACACACATATTTACAGACTTGGTGTATCATTTTGGAGAAAAGTCATTCATTTCTTCCATGACATCCAGATATCTACCTGCTTATGTTATTTCCCCATCTAAGACAGGGATCTTAGCATTTCATTTTTTTTGTGCTTAAGAAATGTGTCCTAATAGTTAACATTTTCCAACGGAGCAGCTCATTTGCAGATMTTCCAACAATGACTATAACCAGAAGCTTTATGAAAATAATTTTCAGCATATATTGACACGTCAAGAACAGATCTGCAAACTTCTTTTCTGAAATACAGACTGATCTGGAAAAAAATTTCACCCACCATAACAAGAGCAAAYAGAAAATAGCAGAGGTTTAATCCCATACATACTTGAGGTGTTTTTCTCCTCTTTTTGCTTTTGCGGCCACATCTGGGTTTTGGGCACTACACACACAGTGAGGGGACAAAAGGGACAGGAAGGAGGAAGAAATAAAGGAGAAAGAAATAAAAATAAGAAGGAAAGAGTTGAATTAAAATGGAATAAACAGGTAACACTGGTGCTCACCACTCTGAAGCAGATCATCTAAGCAGATTTTACAGTTAAGTTCAGTGTCTGAGAAAAAAAAAACTGGTTTAGAACTGCACTGAGATTTTCTCCTTCTTTCTTCACTAGATAAACTAACTATGAATGTGAGAAKGGGATCCCACACACAATCATCAATCTCACCATTTAATTTAAACATCATCATGTGGAAAAAACTACATCCTTAATCAAAAGCCACCACACAGTTGTCCTACATAGATATAAAATACTAAGTTTCAAGGAGAAAAGCAGGAATTAAAACTTCCAACTGCATAATAACAGAACTTAAGGGTCAGAAAGGACAGCCAGGATTCACACAAAGTCCTAATGTGTGTCCTGTGTACCTAAACATAACCAGCCTGTTTGCTGAGGTAACTCTGTATTGATTCATCCCCTCACAAAAGAACAGCTGGCTAAAAAYCCTTACTAGATTTGATGTCACCGAGGGCATCTTCGTGGGCAGCACACGAGGTAACAACGATGGCAGAGGATCCAACTGCAAAGGGCTTCTGGCATCTGCTCGGAGGCTTTCTACTGTTATGATGTTTTTCTCATCATCTGTGCAAAGCAACAGAGAATTCCTGTCAATACTGGCATTGCTAGTTATGGGCAGTGCTACGTATCCAAATTTTTTTTGAGAGAAAGTCCTCTTGGGTGGTAAATTCTGCTAAGTCTTTTGAAGGCACGTCGCACACTGTTGGCAAAATAAGCTTTTTATTCCCACTGAGGAGATCATTCCCAAATACATCTCTCTCCCATGGCATCCACACAAAATTAGCTGAAATTCCCTTCTGAGCCCTCACTTTAACTGTGATCCTTACCAGAGGCTGAGCTTTCCCAGTGCCTGCAGATCAATTCCTCCATGCAGACCAGGACTTCACTCCACACATCATCAAACACAAATGTGAGCACGGAATCCTTCATGCAGGAATAGGGAGAGACAGGGGGAAATCCCAATTTCCGTCTACCAGAGGACAGTCCCATCTTCCTCTCATGCAGCTCCTCCTCCCTATAAAAATGTAAGCATTATCTGCACCAGAAACACATTTTCTTTCTCTCCTGTATTTACTCTTAGTTTCCCACTGACCTCAATGAGAAATCACTGACACACCCTGGTTTCCCTATACAGAATGACTATAAATGATACTTCAGCAATAAATAATTAACCCATGAGATCAAATTCACATTAAAAAAAAAAACAATATTACAGTGATATTTCTTCATCACACTGTTAGGCTTCATATCTCACGAGAGTACAGAATCTTGAAGACAAGAGAGTGATATTTTTTGCAGCAGTGTCTCTCTGGCCTGGTCAAAGCAAGAAACGTGACAATTTTAATTTAATGGTCCATGTAGCTAAGTTGCTTTAATTATTAAAACCCATTAGGTATCAGGAACTGACAGCACCCTTCAGAGTCTTTACCCAGGCCAAATGTTCATATTGTTGGGCTGAATAAAGTAAAGGGGTAAAAACATAAAAAGAATGATAGTTGTTTCTTGACAAGCATAAAATCCACCCTTGTTCATAAAACTACCACTGAAAAATCCAGGAAGGTACAATTCCACCCAAAATGCCAGAAGGAACACACTGCTCTTGCATAACAAACAGCTGTGAATTTGACATAGTATAAAAAATAAATTGTGTTTAAACACATTTCATTAAATACACAGGCTCTTATGATGGAATGAATTATTCAAACCAAGCACAAAAAAGGACAGCATGAAAAATTATCAAAAAATTCCTAAAAAAATTCAGAAAAATAAATTGTCTAGGAAATGGGTTGGTAGAATTCCCAGTGCCCGGGCAACCTCAGGTGTTTGAAAGTTCTCCAGAAAAAAGATAAATAAACTCATCAAGTACGTGTATCTGAACTGCAGGAACCCTGGGACACTGGACACTGGTACTGGCTGCTGTGTTAATATTCAATACCTACACATCCCTGTGGTCAAATGCCARATATTCCTCCACTATCCCCTCGGAGAGAATGATTTCCTCTTCCCCTTCGTCGCTCTCTGAGGAACACAAGGTCACAGGACTGGAAGGGTCAGCCTTTTTGTGAGCAGGAACAACAAAAAGAGGCATCTTCTTGCCACAAACGCTGAATCTGAGTAGGTGACAGTTTTCAGAAATCAGAAATAAAGATAAGTTATTTTTCCACCTCAAATAATTGAGAGACAGCTCGGTAGTTAAGGGCAGGCAGTAGCGAGGCCAACAAATTAGTCATTACAGTAACAACTTTTGGTTTGGATATCTTTTAATTCTTGCTAAGGAACCTGGAACTTCAGGGGAAAAATACCCAAAGCTAATTAGGAAGCATTCTAAAACATTAAACAATAAAAGCAGCAGTGATTTGTATTTTTGAAGTCCTGTACAAATTTAAGAGATGATTAACAATAAAACCAGCTGCAATACATATAGATTCTTAGGAAGTCATCAGCACCAAAGGTATTTCTGTTTACTGACCMGTTCACTGTAGTCAGCAAAAGCACAGCTACGTATTCTGGCTATTCTGAGTGTACTAAACTCAGTTAAAAAGGAACAAAAAGAGTGTGCTATGTTCAAAACTCAGCCTAACAAGAAGGCTGCACATTTTAAGAAGCAGAGAACAAACCTGCCTTCCTAGCTTGGTACGATCCAGACTCATTGCTGGTACTTACTCATCAGAATCTTCTTCCTGTGGTGAACTTAGATCTGAGGGAGCCAAACTGCCCAAGGAGGAACTCGAGTACCATCCGTACCCTTCGTCTGTGGGGATCACCAGCTGCTTCCCCACCACCCTGCCATGGCAAAAGCAAAGGATAAGTACAGCAGAAAGCCTTGGAAGTGAGATTATTGAAGGGCATAAGAACAGCTGCAAATCCGAAACGTTTTCCTGGGAAGCTGTGCAGCTTTCCTGCTGCCAGTTTCAGTTTTCTAAGAGATTTCTGCTCTGTTCAGGCCAAGTCAGTTGAAACAATCTCCATCAAGGAACCAAATGTGAGGTAACAGAACGTTTATTAACGACAGACAGGCACATCACCAGAGTGATCTTTTCATCTTTATCTACCACATAGTTGCATAAAYCCACCCTGACACTTGCTTTAAGAGCAACTGTGTCCATCCCTACCCTTGCTGTAGCATTGGTCTATCCATAAAATACCTGAGATGAGGAAAGCTGGAGGACCATTGGTGACATTCCTCCCGCAGTCCCTCAACGTGAATGTTGTCCTTCTGCTCATACAGAAGCTCATCAATTTGTCTGAACATCTGTTGAACTTGTTGTGTGGCAGCTTTATCAAATTCCTAGAGAGGGAAAAAAACAACCTAGTGAATAGCATTTGCAGTGTTTTTAAAACTAATTTTCAAAATATAATTGAAAAAGACAAATATTCACTTAAATCTTAGCAGGATTGCATGGAAAGATTTTAACTTTAAATAAATTTCTCCCAGAGATGATCTTTTAACACAATAGAGGATTAGTTACTTCCAGTGTCCACAACCAACAGAAACAAAAAAAGAAATGCAGACTGGTGGGAAACACTGAACCTGAAGGATGGCCAGGTCCTCTGTTACATGTAGATAGAAAATGGGGTCAATTCTGGGGTCATTAAAATCCAAACAACTCCATCTCACATCTCAGAAGGCAACAACAAACTTGGCTTTGGTGGATGGAGAATAAAACAAACATTTCTAAATGTGAAATTTATTCTGAAAATAACGTCTTAAGAGCTTACTATATTTTGAGAAACATGCCAGTATGCAGAAGCTTGATAAACTCATGCCGAGTGTCTGAAASTCATCCAGCCATGGCTGGGGTTCCACAGTAACAGCATTAAATTATTTGCATTTTCAAAATGTTTGGTGGAAATTCAGAATATTAACAGAATAGTGTGAGCCTAATATGTTTTGAACTAAAGGATGGAAAGAGGTAAAAAGATGTTCTTTCTAAAATCACAACCATGATTTTTTGACAGATCTAGTCATTTTTATTTTYACATATCTTTGCAGTGGTATTTCTGTGCTAGATTTGGCTTGGATGATTTACTCACGTCATAGCCCCAAGAGAAGGCTGAGCTGTCTTCTGTGGAGGTGTCAGCACAGCTCTGACTAGCAGTCCGTGCATYCCCATGATCATCCGACTCCTTACAGATTCCTGACTCCCTGAAAAGCACAAAAAAAGAAAAGGAAGAATAAATAAACCCACAATAAACAATGAGAAATAAAGAGTGTAAATAAACAAAGCCCAGCTCTATCAGAACAGGTGTATCAGAAGTGCCATGAAAAATACCTGGAGTTCTGTCCGCGGTTCTCAGCTGCGGGTGTGGCTGAGCACACCTGAGCCCGTGGCTCTGGCAGTGGGTGATRCCTCAAGGCATGCTTTGGGAGTCCTTGTCTAAAAAAAAAAAGCCAAAGTGGAAATTGGCATTACATTACTTACAAGAATAAACATTTACAGAGTTCCCAACAAGTTTTATAGGTTTTYCTTTTCTGCTTCTCAAGGACTGTACACATTTATTATTATTAGGAGGCTAATTCTTGTCCCCAAAGCTGTAGGTTTAAGGTGTCAAAACTAACTCCAGGATAAATATGGGGTTAAAAGTCTTGGCTTCAAAATCAGTTAAACTTAAGATGTTGTGAATTGAGCTACAGTCCCCAAAAGCAGAGACAATGCCATTATCCCTCTAGATTAATTAAATTAAATAGAACAAGAGTAACCGAGTAAGTCAGAACGGACCCAACTCTTGGGACGGGGGAAAAGCCAGTTTAGGGATTTAATCGCGTTCTGTCACGCCGGTGTTTGGCCGGGTCCGTGGCTCAGGAACCCGGGAATTTTGGGAGCCATCTCCCGTGGGGCACATGGGGTGACCGGGCCGTCACGGGGCCCTGTTGGATGCTGGGGGGAGCGCGGGCGGCAGGCCCGGGACCGGGGCCGGGGGAATCGGGATGGGCACGGGGATTGGGATTGGGATGGGGATGGGGATCGGGAGCGAACCGGGGGAACACTATCCACTCACGCCTGCACCGGTTTGCGTGCGTATCGCGATATCATCCTCAGCGCCGCCGCCCCGCCGCCGCCATCGCGCCGCTCCTCCCGCGGGGGCGGAGCGCGGTCCCGCCGCGATGGAGGCGCTGCGGCGGCCGCCGGTGCCCGAGGACGCGGTGCGCTACCGCCTGTTCGCGGCGGCGGCGGCGGAGGGGGGCCCGGGCAGCGAGGCGCTGCTGCGGCGCTGCGCTGAGACGGTGCTGGTGCGCTTCGCTCCGCTCCTGGCGGCCTACGTGTGGCAGCGGCAGCCATTCCGCCTGCGCTGCGTGCCGCGCCGCGGTGAGCTGCCAGCGGGCTGGGACCGGGGCCCGGAGGGGACGTGCGAGGGGGA